CAGCTAAATCGGTGGAAATTTGTCTTTTTCAACAGAGGTGGATCCAAACTTTTTTCACCCAACCATTTGGTCAATTGTGCATTAAATATGGCCTAGTATTTTATAAAAATGATTTGGTACATGTTTGCAACAATTATTTGGTAGGTCCTTCATAAAAAACCTCATTTGGGGCACTCGAAAAATGGAAAATGATTTTTTGTGCAAAGAATATAAAAAATCCCTTTGTCGATATTGTTTACTATTCCAAGATGTAAACTTTTGTAGAGTATAAAGAACTCATTTTGAACAAATATAAAGAATATAAAGAATATCATTTGAACAAATATTTGTTAGGCCTTTTACAAAAAAGAACTCATTTTGAGCACTAAAAAATGGAAAATGATTTTTTCGTGACCTATTTAAAAGGTCATAAAGTCTTCAAATTGTTTGTTGTGTTCTGATTGGTCTATAGGCATATCACGCGGATCATGCATCCGACGGATCCAACGGCGGACCTCATCCCCTCACCCTCTCACCCACGTAGCCCTCTCACCCCCCTCACCCACGCAGCCCCCACTCCCCACCGTTCCAACCCTAGCCCCCACGCCCCCACTCTCCCGCACCCGCACCCGCTCGCCAAACCCTAGCCGCCGCCGCCACCATCCACCTCGTCTCGCCAATCCAGATGGAGATGCAAAGCCCTAGGCCGCTCTCCCCCGCTCCACCTCCGTGTCCATGGCGACAGACGCCTCCCCCCTCCGGCGTGCAAGAGCCCGGGGCCCCAGCCGGTGACGGATCCCCTGAAGACGACGGCCGCCGCTGCCGGTGGGGTACATCTTCATGTGGAGCGGTGAGACCAGGCCCGAGTGCTTCAGGTACAGGGTGTTGGGCCTGCCGCGGGGGAAGCTGGATGCCGTCTCCCGGATCAGGCGCAACGCCGCGCTCTTCCTCTACGACTTCCACGCCAAGTACCTCTACGGGCCCTACCGTGCCAAGACGGTGCGCGCGCTGCTGGCGGGGCTCGACGAGGACGACCGCCGAGTGGGGCTGCGCAGGACGCCCAAGCGCGTCGCCAAGGCCTTCCGCGACGACACCCGAGGTATAACCCGTGGATCCCTTCCCTTCGTAATTGCGCATGCTCGCGTTCGTTCCCTGTTCGTTCCCTGGACTTAGCTCCCCCGCACTGTCTAGAGTCGTCAAGCACCAGAGCGACGCCGTTTGTGAAATGTCAGTACTTGCGTAATCTGACTAGAACTAGATTTGGGTGGTTTTCGTTTGGTAGGACTTTTTAGATGTATTCTTTGATTTCTTTCTTTCGTAGCAAGTTGGTGGTATGTCAGTACTCGGTAGTATGTCTCTTGATATAGTTGGCTCTTGCAGATTGTGCTGCTTGTCTAGATACTGGAATCTTAGGTGCTAGGTTGACTTGCTGGTTCACGGGTGACTGCTATTTTTAGGATTTGGGAATCATTAGTGGGATCAGACGGCATATTGCTATTGCCAAAAATAGTGTGATGTCGTTTCGCTTGTATGCCATACTCTCGCACCAAGTCTTGGTATATATATGCTGATCTCATCCCATGTTGAACCTGAGCTCAATAATTTTGGGAAATACTGAGACATCAGATGGCCTATCATCATCTATACATAGCTGCTAGTTGACTTTGTCATCTTGTAAGCGCTCTAGGCAGTGTCTCGAGGGTGAAAAATATGAGAACAAAAAGAATTACTGGATTAATTTACAACATCCATCCTTTACTTCGTCCATGTCATTGTTGTTTACCCATGGGAGTATTTTTAACTTGAAAATCTCTGGTGAACTGCCATTTGGAGTACATTTGCTTGCTCTGTTAATTTTTTTGGGTTACTCCATCTTGCTCTGTTAAGTAATATTTGATATGTGGAGTAGCAGCAGTAAGCTAGACCCTCCATCTTGCTTTGTACATAGTCAAAGCTACTCCAAGTTATCAGCACTACTGTTAACTTCTCAATGTGCTTGGATTACATTTAACTTGTAGTACTCCAGTAATTTTGCTTAGAGTATTTAACAAGATTGAACTGTACATGTGTGGAGTAATTTTGCTTGGAGTATTTAACAAGATTGAACTTGTCAACATTTAAAAGTATTTTTTAGTAAGTATTCTGAACATGCTTCTGGACCATCATCACCCTCCTCTATGCAGGATGCATGTATCACACTTTGAATCAGCCTGTACTGGCCTCAAAATAACACTGTGCGTACTTGTTCACTACTTACTAGATTGATGAATCAATCAGGATGCATGCTGAAACTTAAGATTCAGGTTTTTTTTTGGTTCTGTACCTGTTTGGTTACGTGTTGAGATGATTTCTTGTATGGATGATGATTATGTGATGTCCTGTCCAACAGTATGTCAATCTTTTCCATGTCTACTTTGCACGTCACAGCTACACGATGAGTAGTTCTTTTTTCAGTGTTTGTGATATTTCTTCTCTGAACCATGGAAAGAAATGCCAATCCTGAATGTTTGCTTGTTTTTGTAAGGCCTGAATATTTCTTCTCTGAACAGTATGTCAATCCTGAATATTTCTTCTCTGAACAGTATGTCAATCATGAATATTTCTTCTCTGAACAGATGCAGAGGCCGCTGTTCTTCCTCCGTACAGCCGGGGGCGATGCAAGCACCTGACGCCCGCGTCCTCAACTTCAGCAGTTCAGCAGGTATTGTTCTGTCCCTCGCCATCTGTACTTGAAATCCCTTGCATCCATCTCATTACACTAGCTAATATATTACAACGGAATGAATCAACTACTCTCATGGTCTATCCCATCCCATCTAGTATTATTTACTGTCTATCTGTCTATGTATTTACTCTGAACAAAATTCAATCTGCACATTTGTATCTGCATTGCACAAGTACAGATACATCCGCCCCTGCTATTTTCTTGTTATACATTACATAGATGCATACATGCGCCAGGCTATTTCTATGTCTGTTTGTCTGACCTCTCAAGCATGCATATCTCTTTCGTATGTACTGAATTTTGTAACAATTTCGTTTTCCTCATACTTACAGGATGTTGCGCTCGCTACTCATGTTTTCTGATGCCGCAACAAAGGACTATATGTGGTTTCTTCAGTGGGGTTGTCGTTGTCGCTCCTCATGTTCAATAACTTTTCAGCTCTAACTTGGTTATACAACAGTTCAATTCAGTCAATCTATTGGAACTAGTTTGTCTATTACTTGTATACATATTTTATATCCTGCCCTATGCCCTTGTCGACTTGCTTAGGTACATAATTGTTACGGCTTGCAATCTGGTATTGATGATTGTCAATGTATTCATGTATGCCCCCCCCCTCTCTCTGTTTTTCTGTCAATAGCTAGTAGCATAAGTTGGAGCTGGCTGTACCAGGAACTTAATCTGCATTTATTCAACCAGATCAAGTACAAGTACATTAGTTTGTAATCTGCTATTAATACATCTCCTATTCATAAATTTCCTGATTGGTGATGTTACTGTAGATATGATGTAGGTTCAGTGCTTACTATTTTTTGATTTGATGCATGTTACCTTCGTTTCTGTCTATGCCTTCTTTAGTGTTTTGCCAGCTAACTAGTCTATTGGTCGTTTTGAAATATGAAGATGCTGCACGTAAGCACTATTGCTAGCAATTTGGCACATCATATTAGTCTTATCCCATGTTTTGTCACTAGCATACACTACAATCCCTTGTCCTGTCACTACCATACACTACAGTTTTATTAAAAGGGGGCATATCATTTGCTCTATATAATAGTGCTGATTTTGCGCTGATATGAACTTACAACAGTATTACATTGTAGTGTTTTCTGCATGTTGTTGTATCACTAGTTTCATGCTGCCTTCTCATTTGAACCTATTACTTGTTTTTGTTTTATCCTTGATTAGTATCAATTGTTGTATTGTAGACTTAAAATTGTGGTGGTTCCTCCTTTACAGAAGCTCAAGTGTGAAGTCGTGAAGTGTGAAGCAAGTGTGAAGCCAAGTGTGAAGCCGTGAAGTCCAACTCACTGTAGCATATCTGTGTTGTAAAGATTGTAATACATTTATTTAGTGGTATATTTGATGAATTTTATGCGTTCTTTGTTCTATTCGAAATATTGATTATGTATGTGATTTGAAAACTTGTGGAATGGAAACTTGTCCAGTGAGGCCACTTATGAAAATAATTTGTCAAATTTGTACATTTCTGACATGTGGGACCAATTTGAGAGATGAACATGACAGGTTGGACCCATCTGACTAGTGGGACCAGCTTGAATATATAACAGTTGAAAATAGAAAATCAAAATAGAAAATCAGTAGACTAAAAGGCCATGGCCCAAAAACAAAAAGGCTGCAATGTTGGGCTTGGTCCATGAAGCTGACAAAAAATTCATAGGGAAAAAAATATAAATGGGAACACCGAATTGGACCGGGCTGAATCTTGTGCCACATCAGCTTGCCACGCTGGATGCCTACGTGGACTGGGGAGGCTGCTAGTGACCAAAACGCCACAGTAGGAATATTTTGGTCATAAACGTCCACGGCCTTCTCACAGAGAAGGTCGCTATAGTCAGCTTACGACCCTCAGCTTTTGACCTTCTGTTTTTGGTCACAAAAAGGTCGCAAATGAAAAACTATGACCTTTCAGTGACCAATAGTGGAGGTCACAAGATAGCATATTTCTTGTAGTGTGCTATTGTTTCTGTATTTGTAAGTTATTTCTTCGACATATGCATTGCGAATACACGTGTATATATAATGACACAAATCCTGCATATACAGGAAAAAAGCCTTCTATTTTTAAATGATTTTCTATCTCATCATAGGAAGCAAGACTACAGGAAGTCTTTGTACACAACTTTATTTCATACATACTGAAATCGTAATTAGAATGACAAAGGAGACGGAATAGAGGGAGCCAAGAACTTGGATGATCTTAAGTATCAGAAACAAAACTCGGGCATAACACACCTTGGGACAACTTGTGTGTTACAATATTTGATTGATTGACTCAGCAGTGCAGTGTTGAAAATGTTTCTTTGATCATTGTGATTTCAGCATACACATCTTGCATTGCCGGCCGATCACTTGGTGAGTCCATGGAGCATTCTAGGCCAAGTTTAGCAAACTGCATGATACAATTTTGCATTCCAACCACCAGACGGTCCCCACCATCTAATCTGTGATTTGCTTCTTCGAGTTCATAATATGGAATAATACTGGTCTCTAAAATGTTACAAATATCTTGTGGAAATGCAGAGACTACCAATCCGTGAAGGTTCAGTCCATCCATGAAGATATCATCAGTTGGATGCTTCCCAGTGAGCATCTCCAGCAGAATAACACCATAGCTGTAGACGTCACCTGCAGTCGATATCTTGCAACCCATCCCGTATTCTGCAATTTATTTTGCAATATATAACTGATTATACTTATTTTGAATCCTATGTTAAGGAAGGAAAGTTTCTGAAGCTGCAGCACTTGTTTTTAGGTTAAAAGGCAGTTTATGTTCAACAACTATTGGAAACATAGAAGTGCTTACCTGGTGCAATATAACCAACTGATCCTCTTGGCCCATGTGCACTTGTTAAATCCTTTTCACTTACTGAAGGGTTGGTACACAGAAACTTTGCCAATCCGTAGTCACTAACATGAGCACCCATAGCATCATCCAAAAGGACATTGCTTGGCTTCAAATCACAATGAACCAAAGGAGGTGTGCACCAATTGTGGAGATAGTCCAAGGCTGCGGCGATGTCCATAGCTATCATTATTCTTGATCCGAGACTCAGTGGCCTCCTTTGTCTTTGTTCATGTACTTCTGAATGGAGCCACCCCTCTAGGTTGCCATTGGGCATGTAGTCAAGGACCAGAGCTTTGAACTCATTTCCCATTTTATCGCAGCTTGAGCATAGACTAATGACCCGCATGAGATTTCGGTGACGAGTATTTCTTAACACCTCACATTCAGTTAAAAAGTTATTTGGTGCTCCATTATTGTCTAGTTTGAAAACCTTAATCGCAACTGGGTGCATCTGAAACTCGAATATACCTTTATAGACTATTCCAAAACTCCCTGAGCCAACTAGGTTTGCCAACGAAAAATCGTTAGTAGCTCTAGCAAGCTCAGCATATGAGAACTTCATCAACTCATTGGGTGATTCATCAGTGTGTTGTTTTGATTTATTTCTTTTCTTCAAAAGAATGGTTGCAGCAACTGACACCAGGACTGTAACAACGCTAGCAAGTGCAAAAACTATACATATGATGTGCAAGGTTTCCCTTCTTTTGTTTCTAGTTGATGTGCAAAGTGGTAGCTGAGGCATTGCGGACCTTGTACATAAATCCTTGTTTCCTTGTATGAACACCTTACTTGAATTGATAAATGCATCACCTGTAGGAACTATCCCCTCAAGGCTGTTGAAGGACAAATTGAGAAGTTGCAGAGAGCTAAAGGTCCCAAGAAAGTCTGGTATTTCACCAGACAAGTTGTTTTGAGATAGATCCATCTCATTTATGCCCCTTAAGCTCATGAAAGATTCTGGAATGCTCCCATGAAGGAAATTCACCTCTAATCGAAGTGATTCCAAGTGAAGACACTCACCAACTGCATGTGGAATCTCTCCAGATAATTGGTTGTTGGAAATATTAAGGGAGTCAAGATTAATCAAGCTACCGATCTCAGATGATATGGATCCATTGAGCTTATTATATGACAAATCTAGGCATGCTGAAAGAGAGGATATAGACAGGAGCCCAGATGGAATACTTCCATGGAAACCATTGCATGATAGGTTTAGAATTACCAAATTTTTGCAGCCTGCTAAGCTCGAAGGTATGGACCCGCTCAAGTTGTTTTCTTGCATATAAAGCTCACCTAGCTTTTCAAAGTTACCAACTGATTTTGGGATCTCTCCAGAAAGTTTATTCCTTGACAAACCGAGGAGAAACAAGTTCCTGAGGTTTCCAATTGTGTCAGGAATGCCCCCTGAGAGTAAGTTTCCCGTAAATTGGAGAACTGTGAGGTTGGTGAGTTTTCCTATCTCTGAAGGTATGGTTCCAGTAAATCTGTTCTCTGAAAAATACAACAACTGTAAGCTGCTCGGAAGATTTCCAATGGTACTAGGTATTGTTCCATGAATCTGGTTGTTATCTAGATACATTGCTTTTAACTGTGCAGAGGCTGGTACTGAGCACAATGAACTCCAGTCTACCTCTCCGAACTGGTTTGCACCAAGGTCTAATTGGGTCAAGTAGGGCAAAGACCAGAAAGAAGGAATCAAACCAGTGAATGAATTGTCACGGAGCTCTAGCACTTGAAGGTTGGATGCATTAACTAGTGATGCAGGGAGTGGACCATCAAAATGGTTTCCTTCCATGACCAATGTTTCGATGTTTGGAAGAGTGTATGCAATGTCGGTTGGAATTCTCCCAGCAAGTTGGTTGACACCAAGGCCAAGATAAGCGAGAGATGCGACTGTGTAAATAGCTGGTGGAACTGCACCAGACAAGTAATTATAAGCTAAATCTAGTGTTTCTAGGCTTTGAATTCTGGTTAAACTTTCTGGAATGCTTCCGTGCAGCTTATTTTGAGCAAGCAACAAGGAACATAGGGACGAAAAGTTTCCCAGTGTCGGTGGAATTTCTCCTGAAAGCTTGTTTTCGGTTAGGCTAAGGTATTTTAGCTTGGAGGATGACAGTGAGAAAGCTGGTATTGGACCTGAGAATTCATTATACGAGAGATCTAAGGTAACAAGAGATGGGCTATCAAAAAGCGTGGAAGGGATCTCTCCATTAAGGTTGTTTCTCATGAGGTCAAGGTAGTAGAGTGAAGAAGAATTTGCTAACGATGGTGGCATTTCACCAGATAGGCTATTATTCCGGAGGACAAGTATGGACAGTGATGGGCTACTCCCCAAAGACGAAGGAATGCTGCCATCAAGTTTGTTGCTAGGGAGAAACAGAAATTTAAGGTTGTGAAGCAAACCGATCCCTGGAGGGATGGTTCCGTTGAGTTTGCTATTGCTCAGAACAATTTCCTGAAGAGACGAGCAATGTGCAAGAGCTGGAGGGATTTCACCTTCAATGTAGTTATTCCGCAGGCGGATGACCTCGAGGCTGGAACAAGAGGATATGCTATCCGGAATCACCCCTGTGATGGAATTTATGCTCAGGTCGATGACCGCCAGGTGGGGGCTGGAACATATGGTATCCGGAATAACCCCGGTGATAGAATTCCTGCTAAGGTTGAGGTATCTGAGTCGGGTTAGGCGACCAATCTCAGGAGGTATGTGGCCACTGATATGGTTATCAGCTATGTGAATTCCACGGAGGAAACGAAGTCCTGCAATGCAAGGAGATATTTGTCCAGTAATGTTCAGTGATTCAAGGTGAAGGGCAACAACACGACCTGCGTGGCGTGTACTGCATGACACCCCACGCCAATTGCAGAATGCGACGGATTCGCTCCTCCATGAGTGTAGTGCTCCATCAGGGTCGGAGAAGTGTGACCTAACACATAGCAGGGCATGCCTGTCGGATTCTGATGCATTATGGTGTGCGGGTGTGGCTAAGGAGCATACACTGGGGCAAAGGCTCATCAAGCTGCAGATGAGCATTGCAGTACGAAGCAGTGGCATGAGCATGCTTGGGGCTCCGACAGCGGCCATCTGGCCTCGGCGTAAGTGCATGCTCAATTATGCTAGTGGCTAATCGAGCGATCTGCGTCTTGTGACCATTTCGCTGAAACTTGCCGATATTTATAGACAGTATATTGGTGTGCCAGAGGGAACAATAAAAACTAACCGACGCGTAGTAAATCACGGTGCTCTGGTGACTAGTGTAAAGTAGACGGCTACTTGCAACTGAACCTGACATTATAATTTTTTTTTCTGAAAAGGAGGATTACCCTGACATTATAATAGAAGAGTAATAGATTAGTGATTAGTTGGTCTAGCACTTGCAACTAGAACATGATCATATATCGAAGTATTAGTGAGTGATTGGTCGAGTGTTCTCCCCTCATTTTTGAACTCATGAACATTTGGTAGTAGATAGTATTTCGAGGCAAGTTCAGTAAATATGTATCCATTCCATATGCATGTATACTTAACTCATGTGTCTGTTCTTGTGGGAACTGTAAATTGAAGATACTAAAAGATGTCCAGTTGGATCACTGTGCTAAGGAACTTGTGCCAGCTTAACATTACATGCCTATGTCTGTACTTGTGGGAACTGTACAGTGTCGGAGAAAGAAGGCAAAAAAGAATACAGTGATGAGATTTGTGATTGATTTTTTAGAGAAAAAAAAAAGGTAACCTGAATAACACAGATGCGGAGAAGGCCATTTTTACCTTTTTTTCCCACCAATCATCAGAAGATGCATTATTTAATTCATAGACCGTTGGAGGCAGAGCATTCGGATCATCATTCCAAAGAGAGACTTAATTTGTTGCAAGCCGAATATTCCCTCTGTCCTTGAAAAAGTGTACTTCCAGCTCTGTTGGAAAGTCAAAGTTTTTTATTTATTTTATTTTTTTTGGAAAAAGGGCGCAGCCCCGGCCTCTGCATCAGAAAAATGCATACGGCCACATTTATTAAAATAAAATAGGTCCAACAAAGATCTGTAACTCCGTTACACAATAGTTCCCAAACGGCTCACAAAGAGCAGCAAAGTAAAAGCCACAGCCGGCATGCAAAATAAAGATAAAAAACTAATTTCTTATCCTATTACATGACCGCCATCCAAACCGGCTGAAAATAGCCCGAGCTACCATCTCCCATCGGGCAGATCCAGTAACCAAATGCTCCCTGGCCTCCGTCTGAGTGAGTAACGTCCACATACGGATCAGCGTAGTAGCTCGGAAGATGACCTGCAAAAAATGAGTATATGTTGTTCTGTTAAAAACCATATCATTCCTGCAGTTCCAGACTGCCTAAAGTAAGGCACATACTCCTACACGAATGTGTTTAGCCATTTGGGCCTCTATCCCATCCAGCCAGGTCCCAAATAACATGTTGATATTATTCGGTGGAGTAATATTAAAAGCAATATGAACAATCCGCCAAAGAACCTTCGCCATAGGACAATCGAGGAAGAGGTGTTTGATATTCTCGTCTTGATCACAAAAACTACATCTCTTAGAGCCGGTCCAATTGCGCTTTGTCAAATTATCCTTGGTTAAAATAACTTGTTTATGAACAAACCACATAAACACTTTAACTCTCAGAGGGACCTTGACATTCCAAACATGCTTGGAGAGGGGAATAGAGCTAGAATTGATGACATCTAAGTACATCGATTTAACCGTGAACTCTCCACTCCTGGTTAATTTCCAGCTCAACGAATCCGGCCGTTGAGCAAGCTGCACATCCATCAGTCTTCTCACCAGATGTAGCTAGGCTTCCCAACGCGCTCCGGCAAGTGTTCTCCTAAATTGGATATTAAGGGGAGCAGTCCTAAGAACGGTTGCAACCAGAGCGTCTCTCCGTTGCACGACGTTATAAAGAGACGGATACTATAGCGCGAGAGGAGTTTCCCCTAGCCATGTATCCTCCCAAAATCTGGTATTGTTACCGTCTCCGATAATAAACTTTGTTCTGTTGAAAAAGACCGATTTAACTCTCATCAGCCCTTTCCAAAAAGGTGAGTCCGTCGGCCTCACTGTCACCTGTGACAAAGTTTTTGAATGAAGGTACTTGTTGCGCAGAATCTGCGCCCACGAGGCTTCCGACTCTATAGATAACTTGTACAGCCACTTGCTGAGAAGACATCTGTTTTTCACCTCAAGATTTTCAATCCCAAGACCCCCTTGGTCTTTTGGTCGGCAAATAATATCCCATTTAGTGAGTCGATATTTCCTTTTGGAATCATCACTTTGCCAAAAGAAACGGGATCGATAGAAATCCAGTCTTTTCCTAACTCCAACTGGTATCTCAAAAAACGACAAAAGAAACATAGGCATGCTCGTGAGGACAGAATTAATAAGAATTAACCGGCCCCCATAGGACATCAACTTGCCCTTCCAACAGCTTAGTTTCTTCTCGAATCGATCCTCAACACACTTCCACTCTCTATTTGTTAGCTTACGATGGTTAATTGGTATACCTAAATACGTAAAAGGTAAACTCCCAATTTCACACCCGAACAATTGCTTATAAGCCTCTTGTTCTTCTTTGACTCTTCCAAAGCAGAACAATTCACTTTTGTGAAAGTTAATCTTTAAGCCCATCAATTGTTCGAATAAGCATAACACCAGCTTCATGTTTCGCGCTTTTGCCAAGTCATGCTCCATGAAAAGTATAGTGTCATTAGGGTACTGTAGGATAGACACCCCTCCATCAACTAGATGAGGTACAAGGCTACCTACTTGGCCAGCATCCTTTGCCCTACCTATTAGAATGGTCAACATGCAGCTACGATGTTGAACAGAATAGGTGACATCGGATCTCCTTGTCTCAGGCCTTTATGTGTCTGGAAATAGTGACCTATGTCATCATTCACTTTGATTCCAACACTCCCTTTTCGCGTAAAAGATTCAACATGCTTTCTCCAAGCTGGGTCGAAACCTTTCATGTGCAAAGCCTGTTGTAGGAACGGCCACTTAACTTTATCGTACGCCTTTTCGAAATCCACTTTGAAAACAACCCCATCTAGTTTTTTCGAATGGAGTTCATGGAGGGTCTCATGCAAGACTACAACCCCATCTAGGATGTTTCTGTCTGGCATGAAAGCAGTTTGGGTCGGCTGCACCACAGAATGTGCAATCTGTGTGAGTCTATTAGTCCCAACCTTGGTAAAAATTTTGAGAAGACAGATAGGCCGGAACTGCTCAATTCTCACAGCCTTTGTTTTCTTCGGTAGTAATGTAATTGTTCCAAAATTCAAATGAAACAGCTGAAGCTGACCGAAGAACAGATCATGGAACATCGGTAGTAGATCCCCTTTAATAATATGCCAACATCTCTTATAAAACTCAGCAGGAAATCCATCCGGCCCCGGAGCCTTATAGTTCTTCATCTGTGCAATCGCGTCAAACACCTCTTTCTCCGAGAACGGCGCAGTCAATACCTCATTCTCATCGGCAGCCAACTGAGGCACATCCTCAATTCTCGACTCATCCAGGGACACAAAGTTATCCTCTGAAGGCCCAAAAAGCTACTTGTAATAGTTGGTAATGTAAAGCTTTAGGTTCTCTTGTCCAATGATCGTACCCTCGTCTTGCTCAAGCTGAAAGATTCTTTTCTTTCTATGCTTGCCATTGGCAATCATATGGAAGAATTGAGTATTGGCGTCCCCTTGGACAACTTTACGAACCTTATCTCGCAATGCCCATTTCAACTCCTCCTCTCTCAATAGCTCTTTCAATCTCATCTCCGCATCCACTTTAGCATGAAGATCTGCGGACTACAGAATTGTGGACTCAGCTTTCACATCTAAGGACTGAATAAGAGTAAGGAGTCTCTCCTTTTCAATCTTATAACTCCCACTAAGATGCTTAGCCCAACCTCGCAAGAAACTTCTCAAGTTCCTATCTTATTCTGCCATCTCTCAATCGGAGATCTTCCTCCTGCATCTTTCGCCCATTCTCTGGCTATCAGATCCAGGAACCCTTCTCTTTCAAACCACGCAAGTTCGAAAGAGAAAGTATTTTTGTTACCCACATGTGTTGCCTCCCCAGAATCCACTAGCAGAGGTGTGTGGTCTGAGATACCGCGGGATAATGCTTGGACTGTAACCAGGGGGAATTTCTGTTCCCACTCAACGCTTGCTAGGACTCTATCTAGCTTCTCATATGTTGGGTTTTGCAAAGTGTTAGCCCACGTGAATTTTCGACCTGAAAGCTCTATCTCTCTGAGATCCAAGCTTTCTATGATGGTGTTAAACATAAACGACCACCTGGCGTCGAAATTGTCATTGTTCTTTTCATCTCTCCTCCTAATAATGTTGAAATCTCCTCCAACCAAAATTGGGAGCTGTTCAGATCCGCAAATCCTGACAAGATCCGCCAAAAAGTCTGGTTTTAATTCCGGCTGTGCGGCCCCATACACCGCAACTAGTGCCCAATTAAAGCCATCGACTTTGGATCTTACCCGAAATTTTACAGCAAAGTCACCCATCACTACAGTTCGGACTTCCAGCGACTCACACTTCACCCCAAGAAGGATCCCCCCTGATCTACCCCTTGGCGGAAGGCAATGCCAATCAAAATCGACACCGCCGGACAAAGTGTTCAGGAGCTGAGGAGAGAAATTGTCCCTTCCTGTCTCGAAGAGGGCAATAAAATCCAACTTATGCTCAATGGAAGCATCCGCAAGAAACCTATGTTTAGCCAAGTCCAACAGACCTCTGCTATTCCAGAAGATGTCTCTCATAGTTCATCATGGAATTTTTTGGCTGTACGGACCCTAGCACTCCGACGCACCGCAGATGTTGGATAAATCTTACGCCTCCACCTTCGCTTAGGCTTGTTCTCCTCCTCCACCCGGTCCTCACAACCGAGTTCTGCGGCTCTAACCTCCAGCTCCTCTACCGGAGCACTCTTCTCCAGGGGTAACAAGCCATCATCCTCCTGAATCTCAGTGAGTGGATGGGCAAGATCCGCACACAACGAATCGAGTACCCTAACACCCAAAGCATCAATATCCGAATCGTTCATGGGTTTAACCGCATCTATGTTACGGATTAATT